TTTTAGTTATATTATTGTTTATAGTATCAGCTTGGATATTAAGTCTTTGTAAGTCTTTTTCTAAAGTGTCTATTTTATCTCTTTTCTCTCTAGCTTTGGATTTTCAATAGTTAAAATTATCCCATAGTATGTCGAGATCGGGATAGTTTGTACTTTTATCTTTATAATTGGTTATCAAATAAGAAATTGTTTTCACATAGTCCTCATTTTCTAGATTGACTGCGATTGGTCTATAGTGCAGTTTGACATGTCATCTGGCTGTGCGCTATCTGTTGGTTGTTGTATTTCATCTCCATTAATGTCATCATTATTATCTGAGTTTGACTGATGTGATGGATAGTTACTAGTATCATCTTCATTGTAATCTGTGTTTTCGCCTTGAATCGCCTTTAGTGCAGTCTATCTGTTTATGTCCAGATTCACCACAATTGCGACATTTCCAGTCATTTTGACATTCCGAAGCACGATGAACTACTTCCATGCCTTTACTGCATTTTGCAATGCTGTCACTTTGACTTCTGTATAGCACGGTTCCTCTATATTTCCCAATAGGTATGTTTTTTAGAATAGGCTCCTCTAATGGACCTTGACATATAACAATCCTGTCTCCGGTTTGACAGTCCGTTAACGTGTTTTCATATCGGTGTCGTTCTCTGAAATGTTTTAGAATAACACATTTGTACCCCTCCAGCACTCTTAGAATCTGTCCATCATCTGCTGAGAGTGGTACATCTTTGACACGAATCTTAATATCTGTTGAGTTTTCATATGACTTAACTCTTGGATTTCTCGAGTAGACTAATACTGACCTACCACGAAGTTTTAAGCTATTATACAGTAATAGTTCCCTCTCCTTTTCATCGTCTAAGTATATCCGCCAAAGGCCACGGATTCTTTGTAGGCCTTTGATGCTTCGTTTTTGCATTACTTTACCAACAGCTTCAAACATTTCATTCATAGTCAAGTATAGACTATTTATAGGATTTGTAACGCTACCAAATAAATCTGATTCCTGAGAGAATACAGGTTTAACAGAAGAGATGAAATCAGATTCGTAAGACTTGGGTCTATTTTTGAATGCTTCAGCATAAGACGACATATTGGGTGGTTCTAGAGTATTTGATTTGGTCATTATTTATCTTGTACTTCGTCCGAGATAATATGATAATCTAACAAAATTTGTTATTGTATGTGATGTTAAATCTATAAAGGATCTAATTCAACACAATTTTCATCTGTTTCACAGGATAAATCAAGTAAACAAAGTATATTTTTGTGGACAGTTTACAAACCCGTTACCGTAGTCAGGGGTCGTAACTCCTTTCTTAAAATCTATATTTCGTATTATTGGCTGTTCCTGTGTTACACGTATATCGCTGAAAAAATTGTTGGTATAGTTTCATTGGTGAGGTTTTATTGACAAAATGAATGTAGTCCTTGTATAGTATTTTGAATTGATATTTAATAACTGTTCATTAGAAAAAATGTGATGAAGAATGCACCAATGCTAAGAATCATCCAGACTTTAAATTCAGTATGTGTACAAAATGTGACGTAATTTTCATAGATAACGGCGTTTTTCTATCAATGACGTTATACCTCTATTAGCCTGGAAATGCCAAAGCGGGTCACATATTAATTTTAGTTTTATTTTCTTTTGCTTGGTATAAAATGTCTAGAAACATTCAAATGCAAATAGGTGTATTACAAAATAGAATAATTATAAATATATAAAATAATATATAACTCTTGAATCAACGTGATGTTACTTGATGAATGATAAGGATAAAGTAATATGAAAACTATAAAGCAGAAATATCAGTTATGCTAACTCTGTTGTAATAAATATTGTCGAAATTCAAATACTTTGACCATAAATAACCATTTTAAAACTAGATATGTTATTTAAAACTTATTAATTAGTCAATACCTCACTCACACTTGCAGCTACTACTTTGTAAAACGTCACCAGTGTCTGAGCAGAAAGTTGATGAACCAGGGGTATGTCAAAGAATGTCGCGTTCTTTTTCTAAAAACGTTCATCGGAAGATACCAAGACCTTGTTGATAAATATTCCGTATCAACTTCACAAATAATACACGATGGTCTTGAAGTATAGATTCTGGGAACTGACGTTGTTTATAATCTTAATAACATGTTATAGTATTCTTTTATTTGTCTTTTTAAATATTACTTTTACTGTTTAGTGTATTTTTTGTGATATCCATTTGACGTGGCTCGGTACTTGTACATCCCGTCATTGTGTTATTGTGCTATGGTAAAATTTTGTATTTTTGTCTTTCATTTTTGCTTATGTGTTTTGTCTATAGGTCCTTTTGTGTTTCTTTGTTACATATTTGTTTGTTTTAAAGTGATTAAGATTATTACACAATGTTGACTGTTGTTCCCCTATTTTGACATTTTTACCTATTATGTCTGTTTGTTTTGTTCACACATCGTTGTCAATCTAATGGAATTTTATGCGACTGTCATACAGGTGAGAGGTTTAGCTAGCTATAAAACCAGGTTTAATCCACCATTTTCTACATAAGAAAATGCCCGTACCAATTCAGGAATATGACAGTTGTTATCCATTCGTTTGATTTGTTTGAGCTTTTGATTTTGCCATTTGATAAGGGACTCTCCGTTTTGAATTTTCCTTAGAGTTCGGTATTTTGGTGATTTTACTTTTTATCCGAATTAACAAATATGCATAAAATGCAATAGGCCTGTTAGACCGAGGTAAGGCTTTAATTCTTAAGTGAATATCTCATGATGAAACTATTTCAAATGCAATAGATTTGTAGCCCTAAGGCAAATATGAATATGAAAATACTGGAAATCAATCTTAACAAAATGCAATGATGATTATGATATAAAAAATGGGCTGCTTTGGCAAAAGTGTTTGAAGGACAGTATAATTTATGAGACTGGCAAATACAAAGGTTTTATTTGTATATTAATTTACTTCTCATTTGCTAAAATAGTCTTTGGGTAAGAATATATTTTCCAAAACAGAGTATTGTTTTACTTAATATATTTATAAATCAACTTTGACCCGGACACGTGTAGTATATGCATCACACAAATGATTGATTCTTGTCTTTTGGATATAGAGATCCAAATATTTCGAGCATGTTCTGGATAACATCAATGTGATAAAACTTTGATTTGCACTTACTACTAAGTATGTATTCAGTAAACATATAAAATTCTAACTCTTTTTATGGAAATTTATTATGTATTTATATAAATAAAACTAATGTATTTTTTTGTCATTTGTGGTAAGAATTAATCATATGAGAAACTACCAAGTTTAATATCAAAGGTTAATTTGCATCACTAGCTGGTATGTAAATACATCTAATATCAGTCGTCAATGTACACATAATCCTTAGTCCACTCGGAGACATTCACCACTAATCATGCCACTCTGAGCACTCAGTAAGAACACTACGGCATTAACTACGTCTGCTATCTCTGAAAAAGCATGAATTTAAAGATTTTTTAGGTTTGAAATAACGGGCAATTTGTTTGGCTTTTTCATGATTTTACGAATAACCAGTTTTTTTTATTTAAATATTGAATGATTGGGGTTAATAAAGCAAAAATTCATCTTCCGATATTATCAAAGAGAGGTGAAAGATACTAAAGGCCCATTCAAACTCATAAGTGGAAAAAAAACTGACAACGCCATGGCTAAAAAAGAAAACACCAACAGACAAACAATAGTACACAAAACACAAAATAGAAAACTAAAGACTAAGCAACACGAACCCTACCAAGAATTGAAGGTGAGCAGATCCGGCTCCACATGTGGCACCTGTCGTGTTGCTCATGTTAGTACAAAGAATTTTACATGTAACATTCTAAGCGGATAATCTTTTTATTTTTTTTTTATATTTTTTTTCTGTTATTATTGAAACAATCTTTCATTTACTGTCATAAGGTGTTTGACTGAGGTAGGCATTTATGCAAAGACAAGTACATGTAGTACATATTTATAAAATACAGTCTTAATAAAATAAAGAACTGTGCCATGAGTGCATGATACGGCCTTCGCTTGTTCAACGAATAAAGTTCAATAACTCGTCAATATCAAATCAGACATGTATCAAGAAAACTAAAGGGAGCTTATTTTAATAGATATAAACCAGTCATCAAAGTTTCTTGAAAGTTTCTCTCAAATCACTTTTGAAAAATTGTCCAAAAACTGTAACCCCCATCCCCCCCCCCCCCCCCCACCCACCCTCTTTGATGAAAAAATTCCCAATACTCCAATCATGTAAAATCTAAAATTTAAAAAAAATCGAAAGAAAACTGATGTCAATATCTTTAAATAATTAACAGAAGTTTCATGGAAATTGTTCATAGCATTTTTGAGTTTTTGTCAGAAAACTGGAAAATCCCCGGATTTTTATGAATAAAATCCCATCATTCGGAAACGTAAAATCCGAAATTAATAAAAATCATAATATTTTCCTTGTAGTTTTATTGAGTCTAATGAATAAATGGATAAATCATTCTACTTATGTATCTTACCGGCGAATCTTCCCAATGGTGTCATGGGAAGCAACGGCATTAAGTAGTCCTTGATTGAACGAGCAATGTCTGTCCATACCACAGTGGGGTTAATCGAATTCACTTGTATCTGAAATTACAATGAAAAAAAGATTTATAATATACAGAAGACAATTGCTTACTTAAAAAAAACGTGCATGTTATAAATCAATTAATATAAGTTCCAATAAAGTAAGAAAATATACATCATCTTTAATATGAATATGTATTGTTATTTGAAAAAAATAGACGATACCAAAGTGACAATAAAATAAAACCATAAGTCAAAGAAAGACAGATAACACCATCAGTCGAAAAAATACCGATAACACCATGAGTCAAAGAAAGACAGGTAATACCATGAGTCAAAAGAAAACAGATAACATTATGAGTCAAAGAAAGACAGATAACACCATTAGACAAAGAAAAAAGATAACAACATGATTCAAAGAAAGACAGACAACAATAGGACTGAAAGGAAGACAGATAACATCATTAGTCAAAGAAAGACAGATAACACTATGAATCAAAGACAGACAGATTACACAATCAGTCAAAGAAAAACAAATAACACCATTAGTCAAAGAAAGACAGATAACATATGAGTCAAAGAACGACAGATAACACCAGAAGTCAAAGGAAGACAAATAACACCATTAGTCAAAGAAAGACAGATAACATAGGAGTCAAAGAAAGACAGATAAAAACATAACACATGAGTCTAAGAAAAACAGATAACAACATAATACTATGAGTCAAAGAAAGACAGATAACAACATAATACCACGAGTCAAAGGAAGACAGATAACACCACAGATAACACCATGAGTCAAAAAAAGACAGATAAAACCACAAGTCAAAAGAAGACAGATAACACTATAAGTCAAAGAAAGACAGATAACACCAGGAGTCAAAGAAAAAAGATAACAACATGAGTCAAAGAAAGACAGACAACAATAGGACTGAAAGGAAGACAGATAACACTATGAATCAAAAACAGACAGATTACACTATCAGTCAAGGAAAGACAGATAACATATGAGTCAAAGAAAGACAGATAACATATGAGTCAAAGAACGACAGATAACACCAGGAGTCAAAGGAAGACAAATAACACCATTTGTCAAAGAAAGACAGATAACATAGGAGTCAAAGAAAGACAGATAAAAACATAACACATGAGTCTAAGAAAAACAGATAACAACATAATACTATGAGTCAAAGAAAGACAGATAACACCATAAGTCAAAGAAAGACAGATAACGCAAGGAGTCAAAGGAAGACAGATAACACCACAGATAACACCATGAGTCAAAGAAAGACAGATAAAACCATGAGTTAAAGAAAGACAGATAAGACCATGAGTCAAAGACAGACAGATAACAACATAATACCACGAGTCAAAGAAAGACAGTTAACATCATAACACCATGAGTCAATGAAAGACAGATAACACCAGGAGTCAAAGAAAAAATAGATAACAACATGAGTCAAAGAAAGACAGATAACACCATAAGTCAAAGAAAGACAGATAACACTATAAGTCATAGAAAGACAGATAACACCATAGGTCAAAGAAAGACAGATAACACCATAAGTCAAAGAAAGACAGATAACACCATAGGTCAAAGAAAGACAGATAACACCATAGGACAAAGAAAGACAGATAACAACTATGAGTTAAAAAACGACAGATAACACATAAGTCAAAGACAGACAGATAACATATGAGTCAAAGAAAGACTGATATCAACATAACAAATGAGTCAAAGAAAGACAGATAACACCAGGAGTAAAAAAACCCAGATAAAACCATGAGTTAAAAAACGACAGATTGCATCACGAGTCAAAGAAAGATAGGTAACATGTAAGTCAAAGAAAGACAGATGACACATGATTTTGAGATAGCCAGATAACACATGAGTCAAAGAAAGACAGATAATACCACAGATAACAACCGCAGTCAAAGAAACACAGATAACACCAAGAGTCAAAGAAAGGCAGATTACACATGAGTAAAAGAAACTCATATAACACATGAGTCAAAGAAACACAGTTTACACCACTGATAACACCATCAGTCAAAGAAAGACAGATAACACCATGGTCAAAAGCAATAAGACAAATAATACTTCATACAACACTACCCAGACAATAAAGATTAAGCGACAATTACCACTCTGAAATCCGGTTGAACTCAATAAACCAGAATGGAAAGCAGTTCCTCGGAATTAAATGAGAATGTCGGACAGAAAAACCAACATGACAGAAGTCGACCCTTAACAAAAATGTGTACGAACAGTGTACACGTTGACCTAAGAATTAGGGTAAATACGAATTAAACAAAGTCTCAGCGTGATGAATACCCTCTTTCAGTAGCGTCCTTAATGACTAATCCATCGGTATGAATGAGATTTACTTACATTATGAGGTCCAAGTTCTAATGCCATACATTTAGTTAACATGTCAATAGATGCTTTTGTTGTAAAGTAAACACATCCATCAGGTGCAGTAGTTTCAGACATTATACTGGACATGTTAACAATACTTCCACCTTTTCCATTTTCTATCATCCTCCTAGCAATAATCTTAAGTAATGAGATTTTCAAAATAATCATTCACATTGAACCATTAAATAATACATTATGCAAATTAGAGATTTTTTTCTATATTCAATGGCAAATATGACCCTAAATTGTTCCCTTTTTAGTTTTCCTGAGACAAATATTCTATAATCGAAAGTAGAAAAGTAAGGTCAGATACTTATAAATGTTAAATGCGATATAGTTTATACTTAACAAATAGTACGATTAAATAGTAAACACTAACTGATTTATTGATAACTTCTTATTATCATCAAAGGGTTGTTGTACCTTGCACATTCATTTATTCTTACCCTATCAAATTTAATACAATAATTTCGATAGATGAATGAAATTTAAGATGATATCGGTCGAAAATCATTTGAAAGTTTGACAATCCTTTGACCACAATCAAAATAAAAAAAATACGTTTTTAAATATGAAGTGTAGCTTGTTTTGTACTAGATCGAAATTTTACATGTCTCTAACTCAGTTTTAAACTTAGTATGATCGAGTCAGTGATCCTGCAATATGTTTGTAACACGTCTGGTCCCATGTACCTAGTATTAAGTTCTTTGGTATTAGCATGGTATATATCGTTTATTCTTATCGTATACATTCATTCAATACATCAAGTTATTGGTATTAAAACTATAGTGTATGTTAAATCTCTTTCGGGCAATGTAGACCTTAGGTTTTAGTTGTTTTGTGTAATCACTTATAATTCTCGTCCCCTTGAATGTTAAATGTATTTAAATATTAAATCTTATAATTTCGATTGTCTGGTATCTGTTATTCTTGAACACAGTTAAACACACTAATAACATTAACCGCCGGTGTATATCCTGTGATTTCGCATTCAGCAGACATACTTTTGTAAAAACCAAGAGGGCTTTAACAATACAGACAGAATCCCGCTAGGTAAATTTTGCATTCAGGAGATATTCAAACTAAGTTTTGGTATAATAACAAAATTAAATGATTTAATAAAAAAAACAGTCTAAAATAATGGTTTAATCATTTTTTATAATGGTTTACTTTTATAAATTTTGAATTGGATGGAGAGTTGTCTCAATGGCACTCATACCACATCTTCTTATATCTATTAAATGTATCATTTAAACCATTGAATTGCTGAAGTGCTCCCTGCGGTGCGATTAGTCATATAAAATAAAACGTGTAATACTGTGATTTTTTTTTGCCATGATATTGCATTTGCTGTCATTTTATTGCAAGGTCGTATCTTCATCCATTGAAATACAACAGTACGAAAGAAAAATAATACATTACTAGTATGCAAATTAGATTTTTTTTTATATTCAATGGCAAATATGACCCTAAATTGTTGCCATTTAAGTTTTCTTGAGACACGTTGAAAGGTCAGATATTTATAAATGTTCAATGCGATTTAGTTTATAATAGTATGATTAAATAGTAAACTAATTTATTGATAACTTCTTATTATCATCATAGGGTTGTTGTACCTTGCACATTCATTTATTCTTACCCTATCAAACTTAATACAATAGTTTCGATAGATGGATGAAATTGAAGATGATATCAGACGAAAATCATTTGAAAATTTGACAATCCTTTGACCACAATCAAAATAAAAAAATACTTTTATATGAATTTTAGCTTGTTTTGTACTAGATCGAAATTTTTACATGTCTGTAACTCAGTTTTAAACTCTAGTATGATCGAGTCAGTGATCCTATAATGCGTCTATGGCACGTCTGGTGGACTGCCAGTCCACGATAACTAGTATTCAGTGCTTTGATATTAACGTGGTATATATCGTATATTCTTATCGTAAATTTTCATTCAATATACAAGTAATTGGTATTAAAATTATTATGTATGTTAAATCTCTTTCAGGCAAGGTAACCCTTAGGTTTTGGTTGTTTTGTATAATCTCTTATGATTCTGGTCTCCTTGAATGTTAAATAAAGGCAACAGTAGTATACCGCTGTTCAACAGTCATAAATCGATTAAGCAAAAACAAATCCGGGTCACAAACCAAAACCGATGGGAAACCAATCAACTTTAACAGGAAAACAACGGAACAACAGAAACACTGAACTGCTACATAAACAAACGCCAAAATACATAGAAACGGATTATATGATAACAACTGCCATATTCCGGACTTGGTACAGGACATTTTAAGAAAAAATGGTGGATTGAACCTGATTTTATAGCTAGTCAAACCTTCCGCTTATATGGCTTATGTTAAAAATTCCGCTAAAATGACAACATTACGTGACAGGAATACATAAAAAATAAACACAAGAACACTCAGGACAGAGAAATACATAAATAAATAATATAATAAAAATAGTACATTACAACATTTAAACCACAGACTAACAGTGGACATCTCTCATGAATTTACGACAGTACACCACTATACCACAATAGAATTATTAAACAGCACAAAATCAATCATGTTTTAAAATCAGTGGACAAATTCAAAGGGATTAATGATGAAAATGAATCTCTGAAATATAAGTGAAGTTAAAATTTAGGTTTAAATCTATTTATTGTGTTTAGTATCCGATTAGAAAGTCGGAATTCCAGCTAGCTGACGTTTTCGTGTGCTAATATTTAGCAGAATGTATACAGAACCATTCTAAAGAAATGAAGACAAAACGTACTGATTATGTCATTTTCTAGTAATACCCATTTGCTTAATTTTAATGGATTTCATAAGCATATATATCAATTATCGATTGGTATGTCATAGCAAACATATTAGGTCTCTCAACGTTTAAAACTCTATTCCACGTCTATACGAATACTAACTTAAAAGGAAACTAGACAAAGTGATGCCCCCGATTTCCAATCTTAAGTAACTGTGTTATAACTAAGTCAATGTAGGACTTTCTTTGAGATATTATCGACACAAATCATGCCCCCGCAGATGCAAAGTATTATTTTAAAATACACAAAGTTGAGCATGGGAGCACATATATCTATGGTTCATCATAGGAGGAGCTATCCGGAAACGCTATTTACCTCTTATGCAAGTATATACTCCATAAAATGACAAAGGTCAACTATCTCCCAAAAGAGCAAAAATAAATAAAAATCAAAACCATGACCACATGCACACCTTCAATATATGTACAAACAGCCAGCAATGTGAAAACTTCCTAACATTCAAACTGTAGGAGTTATCTGGAATAGCTATACACGTCTTATGCAAGTATATACTCAAAAAATGACAAAGTTCAACTATCTCCCAAAAGAGCAAATATAAATCAAAATCAAAACCCTGACCACATGCACACTTTCAATATATGTACAAACAGCAAGCAAAGTGAACACGTCCTAGCATTCAAACTGTAGGAAGAGTTATCTGGAATAGCTATGCACGTCTAATGCAAGTATATACTCCAAAAATGACAAAGTTCAACTATCTTCCAAGAGAGTAAATATTAATAAAGATCAAAACCCTGACCACATGCACACCTTCAATATATGTACAAACAGCCATCAAAGAGAAAACTTCCTAGCATTCAAACTGTAGGAGGAGTTATCTGGAATAGCTATATACCCATAATGTGACGAACGGACGGAAGGACGGACAGACGTACGGACGGACAGGGGTTAACCAATAACACCCCCAAACTTTCAGTTGCAGGGGCATACACAAATTATCTTATATCAAATCCACTACTGTATATAATTAGAATACAACAGGAATTACAGAAACATTTTGTCTGGTTTCATACTAGAAATTTCCGAATAAATGGCCATACCAAAAATATCAGATGCAATTATAAAATAACAACAGTATAGATATTACTTTATCAAAACGTCTACTGATCATGAGCCAATACAGGTTGACTATAAGTCCAATAGGGTATCATCCAACCACTGATCATTACAAGGCATTAAATATCATAATTATTCATGTAAATGTCTAGTTTATAAATTATGTCTTTGATTATAATAATTTTTGGATTCCTGTCGACCTTGTCGACCTTATATAGCTTTGTTTTTCTATAAAAAGCTTTTATATTGCTCTCATACATTTTATTTTTCTGAATTTTGAACATTTTGTCTTCAGCATATTCATTGGTGATATCGATAAGCAAGTGCAAAGTGCAA